CGGGGGATGACACTGGCCAAGCTGGTCCGCCCGGTGGCCGGACAGGTGCGGCCCAGAGCCGGCAGGAGCCGGAGCCGCGTGCACGCCCCCGGGTGGGGAGGGGGAGGACGCCGGCCGGACACGCCCCTCCCGGCCCCGCTCACTTCAAAGGGAGCTTCGTGGGAGGGGAACAAAGAGAAAGTGAAACTAGACGGAGGCCGGAGGCAGGGAGGGAACGCGTCTAGCCGGTTCCTCGTTCTCAGACCCGGCTCTTCTCAGAGGGTGAGGAGGGGGGCCCGGAACCCTTACGCCCACCCCCCAGGGCCCACTCTGGGAGCCCCATGCTGCCCCCATCCCCCACACAGGCCAGCAGCCCTCGCCATGCCCCCCCACCCCCAGCGTGCGTCACCCAGCCCCATGCGCTCTGGCCTGCCCACTTAGTCACCTGGAGATGCTGGGGCCCCCGCCAGCTGCGGCCTCGGGGATATCTTCCAGGGAGCTGCCTGCTGCGGGCAGATGGGGGCTAATGGGGGTTTCAGCTTTAGGAAAGAAAGTTTGGAGAGACGTGTCGCTTAAGTCCCCAGCCCCCACTCTGAGCCCCTGGTGTGGCAGGTCAGACTCACTCAGCTAGGTTCAGGGCGGTCACATGCGGGACACACACACACGCACACACGCACACGCACGCGCACACCCGCCCCCGGAGACCAGTGTCTGCATAACCCAGGGGCCCCCGCTGATCCCCAGCCAGGACACAGCCACCAAGTATGACAGACATAAGGCATTTTCACACACACTGTGTGTGGTTCGCCTGTCACAACCCTGCCACGTGAGTGGCAGAAGTTTTATTCTTTGCATTTTGCTGTGGGAGAGACCAGCTCACAGAGGGGCCATCACTTGTCAGAGTCAGAAAGCTCTCCTGCCCTACACCCCTGCTGACTCCACAGGCCTGTCCATGCTGGGGGATGGGACGGAGACACAGAGGCCTGTGACAGAGGAACAGGAGTGGACCATGTCATTTCTTCCCATCACCATCACCACGTGGGTGGGAGGAGCCCACCTGTCCTGTCCCCAGCTCCCTGGCACAGCCCTGTCCGTTGGGGGCAGCCCCCTCCCTACACACTCCGTCCCCCCATACCCCCTCCTTATCCAGCAAAGCTGGGTCACGGTGTCCCACATCCGAGGGGGCTCGGGAGGGAAGGGTGACAAGTCCTTGAAGCTGTGGCTCCCACCTGAGGTGTGCCCAGCCAGGGAACGTCCTGCCATGTAGAGTCAGGCAAGCTGCTGCTGGGAGCGGGGTGACCTGGGGGCCCGACTGAGAAGTCCGACTTTATGATGGAAGATACTGGGCAAACACAGACAGTGGCCTAAGTGAGAGACAGAGAGAAATGTTTCCCAGAGATAAGCCTGGGATCCTGGTGATTTGAGGGGCTGCTGGGAGCCAGGCCTCACCTGGGAGTGTGAGGTGTGAGCAGAGCGGCTCCCCAAGGAGTCGGGGTCCTCCAAGACCCCACGGGCTCACGGTGCCTCCCACATCCACCCAGCCCGTGCCCCGCCTAGCCTTGCTCCCATGTCTCATGCCGGCCCCATGCCGTGTCCCCCGGGGGCGCCTTCCAGAGGTGGGGGGGCTGCCCCAGGGCCCGGCCCGTGTACCAACGTGCAACCCTGAGCACAGGACTGGCCCTTAGTTTTTTCAGCTGTGGAATGAGAAGGAAGATGAACCAGTGCGCTCTCGGGAGTGTAGCGGGGCTTTGAGGAGCCAGTGCGTGGCAAAAGGCGAGCCTCTACCATTGTCCCGTGTGGCTATTTCTCCTCATGTGTTGTGCTTGGGGACCTAGGGGACTGGCCCTTTACTGCCCTGTTGCCACTCCGTGCTTCTCAGAGGAGCTGACTTACAGATGCAGACTGGCCTCTTGCCAGTGTACAGAACAGCTCTGCGGAAGTTTCCGGACGTGCACCTGTGACTTTGCACAGCTTTCCAAGAGACACGTCCTGTCCAGGAACTGCACCTTGTAGGGCTCTATGTCCCATGAGAGTGTGCAGGGGCCCAAGAATGGAGGCCTCCCCCCACTGCAAAACCTGGCGGGGCGCTCCCCCAACCTGCCTGGCTATGGAAGCTTCTCACCCACCATCCATCACCCACTTGGGGAAAGTCAGATGAACATGTGCTCTCCGTGGAACACCCAGGACACAGCTGGACCTTCTACCCGGCGGGGTCCTCATCCTGGGGCGCCATGGGACCATTTACCCCGGCGGGGTCCTCGTCCTGGGGATCCGTGGGACTGTGTACCCCTGGAGGCTTACACTTGCTCTGGGAGGGTGCTGCCTTGTGGACTGACGTGAGCCCCCCACAGCTTCACAATCTGGTGCTCCTTGGGGTCTGAGAGAAGCACTGAGTCCTGAGTGGCCATGGGCAACAGGCTCTGCCCCCACCCCTGGCAAGTAGAGCCCAAGAGCTGGGTGCTTCCAGGGAGCTGTGGGGGTTTGGGGACAGAGAAGACATGGTGGGGGAGAGGGGCAGGGCTGCTTTACCCCTTGGGGGACCTGAGCAGCAGCCTCCTCCCTCCTCTACTCCACCAGGCTCCCATCCAACCGTCCTGCCCCCCCCCACCAGCAGCCACCCCTCTGTCAAGCCCGGAGACCCCTTCCTCCCCCATCCCCCCACTCATGGGGCCTTCATCAGGGTGTGGGGCAAAGGCTCCTCAGGCCCAGCCGTGCTTCTGTGGTGCTCCCTGGTTGTGCAAAGCCCAGGCACACCCGTGTCTGGGCGAGAATCTGGAAGGCTGCCAGCCAAGGTGCCAGCCTGGGCCTGGGAACCAGGTGAAGAAGCCCGGGGGTGCGGGCAGAGCCACCCCCAGCCCGGCCCACCCGGGAGAGGTCCCAGCTACACTGTGGGTGCCAAGGGCGGGCTCTTGGGGGTCACACTTATGGCCAACATGTGCAGGGCCCATGCCCTCAGGCTGGGCGCAGCTCTCCCAAGCCTGGATCCAACCCAGGGGACAGACAGACAGATGGACAGATGGATGGGAATCCTCACATGGGCAGTGGTGGAGAACCTGGATGGAGGTACCCCCCACTCCCTATCCCCCCTCCCTCCCCCCACACTCCCCATGCTCAGCCCGGAGGGATCAGGAACCATGTTGGGGCAGGGGTGAGGGGAAGAGCAGGCCTGACACTCAGGGAGCTCTTGCCCCACTGGACTGCTCATAGTTTGGACGGAGCATCAGCCAGGGGTCCAAACACCTGATTTCAGTCCCAGCCAGGCCTCCGACAAGGCTCAGGGCTGTCCAACCCACCTTGGAGAACCAACCCCGCCCCCGCGAGGCTATGACAACTAGGCACCTAGGGCAGGCACAGGTCACCCCCTTGTGCCTCTCCAGGTAGGGGCCTTGGGCACAAGGGGCTGGGCTAAACCCTGCCCAGCAGGCGGCCCGCCACTGGGAGGGGCCGGGAGGACCAGAGAGAGGGGATGGTCCAGTCTGTACGGGGGAGTTGGGCAGAGGCAGATGTGGGTGGGGGCTGCCTGGAGGAGGGCACTTCAAGCTTCGAGGAGGAGAGGATCAGACGGAAGGAGACGGGGCAGGGGTCGTCTGGAGGGGGGAGCAGCCTGCGCAACCCCCGGGGAGGCAGGACATCGGTGCAGGGCTGGAGAACACACCCCTCGCTCTGGCCCGGGAAGGGCTGGCTGGGTGTCCCTCACCCTCAGGCTACCCTCTGCAGAGCCTGGGCACAAGTCCCCACCCGTACCCATAGTCCTGGGACCCAGAAGGACCCACCAGAGCTGGGCTTTGGGACCTAGGGAGGGGTCCGCAGAGAGATTTTATTACCACTCCGCCCAACAAAATCTTCAGGCCAAGTCTCTGAAACAGAGGGAAGCAGTCCCAGCAGTGGGGACATATCACAGAGTCCTGGGGGGGCGCGCTGTGATCCTCCAGCAGGTCCCATCTGTGCTGCAGCACGACAGCCTCAGGTTAGACACTAGGCAGCACTTCCTGAAAACGGGCCGTCTCCGGGGACTGCTCTTGCGCAGCACAGGTAGCGTAGCGGGGAGGGGCAGGGAGACAAGCCCAGGCACCTCACCAGTAGGGCCCAGCCTTTCCCAGGGAGGGACTGGAGGACTGGAGCAAATCCAGTGACTTGAGAACCTGTGGGGTAGTCAGACGATGGAGTGGGGGAAGGAGGTGTGAGCTGGGGACTTGGTCCATCTACCCTAGGAATCAGGGGGGAGCACTGGGCCAAGGGGTCCCCGTGTGGGGAGCTGGCCCTGTGGGGTGGGGCACGGCAGGCAGGATGTAAAGTAGAAGGATCTGAGGTCCCCTCCGGGCTCAAGGAACCTCCTAGCCGTGGCTGGGGCCTTCCAGCACCGTGAGAGTATGCGTCACAGAGTGGCCTGATAAGACAGAAGACAGGAGGTGTGAGCTTGACCCTGCCTATGGGAAGCCCTCCCTGACTGCTCCCTTCAGGCACACAATGTGTGCCCCATCTACAAAAAGATCTGCAGGCCTAACTGACTTTGACTCATGTTACCCTCCTCTGGTTCCATCCCCAGGACAAGCCCTTACACATGTTCCCTAAGCCAGAGCCCAGCCGCGTGGGGAAGCCTTCAGTCCTGCGCGGAGCAGAGGGAACTTACTGGGCCTGGGGCCTGCACACCGGCCCCACCCTTGAGGTTCTGCAGGAAGGTCACCACTTCCAGGTTCCCGGCTGCTTCTGCCTATGGGAGGGAGCATGTGACCGGCCACTGGGCCCCTGACCCCCCTGCCACCTTCCACCCACCAGGACACCTTCCCTGGCTCTTCCCACCTAGTGTCCCTGACTCCTGTCCCCACAGCTCTGGTTTCAGGGAGGGGCCTAGGATGGGAAGGGAGAGCAGGACTGTGGGCACTGGGTGTAGGGGCTGGAGGAGGGGGAGCCAGTGGAACTATCAGGAGGCCTTCCAGGAAGAGGTGGCCCAGGAGAGGGCAGCGGGGGCTCTGGGGAACTCACAACAAGAAGGGCGCTGCGCCCGTCGTAGCCTGGGCTGCTCAGGTCAGCCCCCGCCTGCCACCATGATTGAAGGCCTTCAAGGTCTGCCCTGGCCGCCAGCCTGGAGAGGGAGCAGAGGAGGACGAGCTGTCGGGGCCCCGGGACCCGCCACAAAGGCAGCCCCACACAGCGCCCCAGCAGTGGCTCGGGCCAGCAGGGCCAGAGTGTGGGGTCCACTGCAGGCGAGCCAGTGGCCTGGAGGCTGGGTTCACCCACAGGGGTGACCGTGACTCAGGTCAAGGACACACACACGCACGTGCTCACACAAGCACACACACGCACGTGTGCACACCCCACAAGGAGGGCCGCTCGCCAGCTTCCTATTTCGCAACACAGCCCTCTGGGGCGGGGTCGGCAGAGGCGGGAGGGAGGGAAGTCTGCGAGGAGATGTGGGCGGGGGGGGCCTGGAGTCAGCAGGCGGCGTGGCGGGGTGGCAGGGCTGGCTGGGAGAAGGACCCGGCCCACCTGCCCTCGCCAGGGTCCTGCCCGCCCTCACACCCTCAGGGGAGCCCACTCCCCACCCACGAGCCAGGTGGGGATAGGGACACACCAGCTGTGCTGACCGGGGCTGCGGCACCAGTGGGGGGGCTATCCCACGGAAGGGCCTCGGCGACTCCCTCCTGGTCAGCCCCACAGGAGCACCGAGTGATCTCTGGGGTGAATCATACAGGATGATACTGCCAGTCCCTCCCAGACCTGTCGCCAGCCTCCCCCGCCACCTCCCACACGCTGGCCTCGCTGGGCCCCCAGATCCAGCCAGGCAGCCCAGGGTGGACACGCCCTCCCCTGGGCAGAGTCCTGGATGCCCTGGGACCTGGCTGCCACCGCCGCTCTCGGCCTGTGTCCCCACCTGTCCCTGGAGCCAATGAGACCAGCCTCCAGGGCTGCACAACCCGGAGCCAAGCCCAGAGGTCCCTCCAGAGCCGAGGCCCCTTCCTCCCTGGCGAGGCCCTAAAACCCCATCACATCTGAGTGCCCACCATCCCCCCTCAAGCCGGGAAGGGTGGGAGCTGGGTTGGCCAGCAGGGTTTGTCCCCCTGGGGACACTGAAGGTCAGGGTGGGAAGGCCTGAGGCTGGGGGCCAGCGGGGTCTCTCCACCCCACCCCACATCTACGACTGGGACCCCCAGGGTCGGCCGAGGCCAGCACCGAGGAATGGGGGTAGGGGAGGCACTGGCCAGTGGGGACAAGAGGGTCAGGGCTTCGGGGACTACTTGTGAGTAGACCATGCACACACCCCTCACCCCCCGCCCGTTGGCCTGAGAGCCACAGTCCATACCCCTCCCCAGGCTTGGGGGCTCTGCCATTCAGGGCTGTGGACACAGGCTGCCTCCAGCGCCCCACCCTCGTGTCTCTCCACTGCCCCCCTCGGCACCTGGCTCCAGCTCAGGGGCAGCTGACAGGTGGCACGGAGAGACCCCAGACAGAGCCACAGCAGCAGCCCGGGGATGGGGTGTCAGCGGATGGAGCAGGAAGCTGGGCTCCGCAGCCCCCGTCCTCCGGCCCACCCATGGCCAATACGCCAGCTGGAGACCTCCAGGACCCCCAACTCCCCACTAGCCCAGGTCACCCAGGCCTGCCCGGGGGTCCCTCAGGGCACCTGTGAGTCCGAGCCCTGCCAGCCCCTGGCCGTGGTGGGATGGGGCGGGACCGCCGTTGCCCATGGGCCCAGTTTTGCCTGGGGTGGGGACCAGGCCCCACTATTGCAAGGCCTGCGCCAGGGAGGACAGGGACTCAGCAGACCTGTCACCTGGCTGGAAGTGGGTGACAGCTCTCCTCTCCCAGACACCCCAGCCTCCAGGGCAGACTCCAGCGGCTGGGCGGGCACGGGGTAGGCCCTCCTCCTCTGAAGCACCGCACCCGAAGTCCCTTCCCCTTCCCACCCCCCCAGAAGCCCAGGTGCCCCGGTACCCTTACCTGCACAGCTCTGTCCCCGCGTCCTCCAGCTCCTGGGGGGACAGGCAGGCCCCAGCTGCCCGCAGCAGCTCAATGACACCCCGATGCCTGCCACAAGACACGGCGCGCTGACCACACTGAGCACCTGCCCGGCAGCTGCTGCTCAACATGGCAGCGACTCCCCTGCCAGCCCCCCGCCCCGGGCTCTGAACCAGTGCGGCTCCCCCCGCCCCCCGCCCCCGGCAGCCCAGGGCAATGTCCCTTCACACATCCAGGAAGCTTCCTGGGACTTCCTGGGTCTGCAGGGTGGAGCCAGGTCTGAGGTACCCCAGCACCCTGCCCATGCTGGGGCATCGGCCCTGACCCAGCCGTTCCTCTACCCACATGAGGCCTTGGCCACAGGCCCCCCCAGTCCCCATCCTAAGGGCCCAACGCGCTCCCCACCGCACACACCCGCGGCAGTCAAGGCTAGGCCTGGGGAAGCAGAGTCAGCTGGGCCTGCGCTCTGCCCTTGGAGGGGGCGGGGATGAGACGCTGACAGACGTGAACAGGAGGGTCCCAGAGCAGGCCCCGACGTCTGTGGGTTTCCAGAGGCCGACTGGCCTGGGCCGGGCCTGGAGCCACCCTGGAGTGGGATGGGGATGTGTGGTGGGGGCAGGGCCGGGGTGGGAGCTTAGGGAGTGGGGGAGCGGGTGGGCAAGGCAAGGGAACAGAAGGAGCAGACGCAGTCTCTCAGCAGAAGTGCTGCCCGGCCCCTCCCCCGCAGTGGCCTTGTACTGTAAAATGCGTGGTCACCCCGTTTTAGGAAGCCTGGGGAGAAGGGTGGGGTCCCCCAGGTCTTGCCCTCCCCGCCCCGAAGAGCCCTCCAGGGCACGCAGGTCCAGGCCCGGGAGTGAGGCCAGGATAGTGAGGCTGGGAGACCGGTTTGGGGGATGCTGTGGTGCTGGGGGGGGGTCAGGGATGAGGGGGCGGGACCAGGACGGTGAGCTCATCACTCTCGACCCACGCCCAAGGACTCACAGCCTGGAATCTGCACCCAGATCACTCCAGCCCCGCACCCCCACCCTGGGAACTCCCAGCGCCGTGCTCACAGCCCGGTCAAGAGGGAGCTACCCGCCCTGATCTTCACCGGGATGACGTACCCACCCCAAGGCGCACAGTGCCAGGGCACCCCGGACTGGATCGAGCCAGACAGTTGGGCCACCCCAGGCTCACACACCCCCAGCCTCTCTCCGTGAGACTCGCCAGCACTCCCTAGCGTGGAGAAGCAGGGGGATCTGGGGCCTGGTGCAGACCCTAAGTCAACCAACCAAGGGCTGAACACAAGAACCATGACCCGTCTCCCAGACACACACACGTGAGCTCTCACACGCGTGTTCACGTGTGCACTCCCACACTCCACACCGATACTGCTCTGGGCTTCTGGAGGGGCCCCACTCCACCCATAAGGTCTTCCCAGCAAGTTCCAGGCCCCGTTCAGATAGAAGTCCCTAGAACATTGAGCTATGCTTCCTCCAAGCCCTGCCCACCTCGTGGCCACCTGCTCTGTTTCCACTGTCAGCCAGAGCGGCTAAGGCCTAGCCCTCGGAGAGATGCCAGGCAGGACGAGGGGGAGGGGGGAGCCGGGGACATCCTCAGGCCCAGATGCCTGTCCTTCCGGCCCCCTGTTGGCTGCCCGCCCAGGCCCTGTGCCCAGCTGGGCCGGGGGCGGGGGGTAAGGCTCTAGGAAGCAGATGTCCTTGGCCCTGCCCGGCTTTCCCAAGCAAGCTGGGTCACCACAGGCAAACCAGCAGCCGTCCTACGGCGGCCTGCCCGACTCACCCCATGGGACCCCAGCCTGCATGGCCACTGTGGGGAGCCCCCAGTACCTGCCCTTCACGGCCAGCAGCAGAGGGCTGAGTCCGTCCTCATCTCGGGGGTCCACGTCCACCCCTCTCTGCAGCAGCATGGTGACCGCCCCAGGCTGGCCTCCCCGGGCGGCCGTGTGCAGAGGAGTTTGACCGTTAAAGTTCTCTAGGTTCAGGTCACTGACCTGGGGTGACACAAAGGCTTGTCACCTCCTGAGGGAGGGCTGGGCAGGGTCAGATAGGCCGGGAAGAGGGGATGGGAAGGGTCAGGGTGTCCCCCAGCAACAGGGCCTGGCAGAGCAGGGCCACAGGGCAAGACCATCGCGCGCCCCCCACCCCTGCCAGGGGGACTGGTGTGGCTGGGGCTGGTCCCCGAGGAGGGGCGGGGGCCTCACCAGGTCCCCAAGCGCCTGTAGCACCTCCAGGTCACCGGCATGGGCCGCAGCACAGGCCAGGCTGGGCACCAGGGCCTCCCGTATGGCGTCGGCCTCCTGGGTGGAGAGAGCAGCACCCTGGGGTCTTTGGCTTGTCTGCCCCTGGGGAACCTGGGACCATGGTCCGGGTCCATCCTTCTGGGCTGTGCGCCCCAAGGCGGGCCACCCACCCGCTAAGATGTGATTCCTCGGCAGTGGCCTCCACCAATGAGGGGACAGAGACAGACTCACGACAAGACACCCGCTTTGGGGAGCACGGGAAGGGGTGCCTGGTCCCCTCACCTGGAAAGAAGGGCATACCTCCCAGGGCAGAGCTCCTACACGCCGCCTGCCCTAGCCCCGGGGGGTGCTGGGGGTCATCGAGGAGCTCCACAACACGCCAGAGGGTCGGGAATGCCAACGGAGTCCCTACAGGCCACCCGGGATGCAGCCCAGCCTGCCCTCAGCCCAGTACCCCCAGCGCAGCCAGATCATGGCGGCAGGATCCGTGATGGGTCCCGCAGAGGGGAACCTGACACATGCGGCATGACCCAGGGGGCACTGGGACGCCAGGCCTAGATGTCTCGCCCAGAGGTGGCCGTGTGCTGGGTCACCGGGAGGCCCCAGTCACTGCCGTGGGCCTAACCCGGCCTCAACCCCAGACCCTAGGCCCTCAAGTGTGACCCCAGCCCCCCTGCCGCTTCCAGGTCTGGGCTCCTGGCTGGGAGGGTGGAGGGGGAGTCCCAAAGGGGCTGCACCCGCAGGCCCAGGAAGACCCCAGCCCCCTCTCCTTCCAGCACCTGGGACAGACAGCGTGCCCACCCTGCAGGCTGCCCCCCCACCGCCGCCGCACCGCGCCTGGGGACAAGACCAGCGGGCAGCGGGCCCCCACAGCCAAGTGCAACCGCCAGATGCCCCTCGCGCCCCGCTGGTGACAGGGCCACACTCCGCCTGCTGTCCATGTGCTGCAAGGACTCCACTCAGCTGTCTCGGCCGCTGCCCCCAGGCGCCACTCCCGCCTAACCCCTGAATCCTGGCAGGTCATCTCTGCTGAGCACCCGCCCCCCACCCAGGCCCAGAACCAGGCCACGCCTGGCCATCTCCCGCTTGCGCAGCGGCGGAGGGCGTGGTGGGTGTGGCCGGCATGGCCCCTCCCCAGGCCCCGCCCCCCAGGCCCCGTGCACGTAGCCCACACACACTGGGCAGTACCTGGCTGAGAGTGAGGAGCTGGGCAGCCCCCCGGCCCAGCGCGCTGCTACTCAGTGAGGGCCGGCGCTGCGCCCCCATGGGCAGTGTCATCTCGCCCCGAAGGTCCCTGGCCAGCAGCTGGGGGCGGAGAACACAGCAAGCCGGGGACGCATGGAGCCCAGGAGCCCCCCGACCAGCCCCCAGGACCAGGCACCCCCAGGGCATGTGGTGAGGATCGCCCTGGGCCCAAAACCCCTCAGCTCAGTCCCCATCCCCCAGGCCCAGGCTTGACCCCAGCCAAGTCCCTGAAGGCCCACCACACCCTCCACTGCCCCACCCCACCTCTCCCAAGGACCCTGTGGCCTCTGGCAAGGCTGGCTGCCTCTGAGGTTGCCCCAAGGAAGACTGGGGGATGAGGGGCCATCCTGAGCAGTGCCAGACCACGGCTCCCCGAGACAGCGGAAGAGCAGGTGGTCTGAGGTTGGGGTTAGCAAAGGGTGGTGGGTGCCCAGGCCTCAGAGCTGGTGCTTTCCCCCAACCGGGAGGCCCTGCCTTTCTTCCTTTCCAAGCCAGGCACACACCCTGCTGGGCTGGGCCCCACCATCTGCCCCAGTCGCACCCTCACCATGCTCTTGGGAGCCCTGTGACCCCTGCCCCCACACCTACAGCCCAAGGGGCACCTCTTTCCTGTCGTCCGGGGTCAGCCCAGGATGGCCCAGCACGTAGGAGAGCTTGGCCAGGGCGGCCTCTGACGTCATGTCGAAGCCAGAGACAATGCCGGCTCCCGCCATGGCCTGTGGGGAAAGGGGCGCGAGCAGGAAATGGGGTGCAGGGTCACAGGGCCCAGGCCCTCCCTCTCCAGCTGCCGGCTCCCTGCCCCCACCATGCCAGCCGCGTAGTCAGAGGTCACGGCCCCCTGCAGGCAGTGGGAACAGTTGAGGATGATGAGACCCCTTTCGGCCGCAGCCCGGAGCTCCCGCAGCAGGTCCGGCTTGGTGGGCCCATTCCCCGAACCGAAGGTCTCCATGACCACGCCCTTCAGGGGGGGCTGCAGGAAGGCCCGGACCTGTGGGGCCAGGAGGCGGGTAAGGCGGGCCTTGGCCTCCTGCTCCAGCAGTGGGAACCCCAGGCTTGTCCTACACCATTGCTCGGTGGCAGAAGCAGCCTGGTCTCGCGGTCCCGACCCCCAGCGGGCCACACAGAGAGTCCTGAGGGTCTGCTCCCCGCCTCACCTGTCAGGAGACACCTGCTCCCCTCCTAAGGCTTGAAGGCCGTGGCAGATGTGGCCACGATCAGAATGTCCCCTCCACACAGCTCCCAGCCCCATGGCCCTCACTCCAGCCCCTTCGCCCTACCCTGTCTGAAACACAGCAGGGGATGCCCCCGGCTTGGCAGGATTTGGGGAAAGTGCCCAACACACACACAGGTTCCAAGTCAGCCAGGGGCACCGCCCCCGTCTCCTGCCCTGTGCCAAGGCTCCACTCAGAAGACAGATGACAGGGCCAGACCAGCCCTTCCCGAAGCAGGCCTCCCTCGAAATCCCGGGGGCTCCCGTCCCCGCACTGGCGTCTAGAGGCCGCCTGACTTAGGGAGGCCACGCAGTCTGGCCCCAGAGCCCCCAGAAGGCCTCCGACTCTGAGGGTCTCTGCCTTCAGAGGGGCCCAGGGAGGAAAGGCCATCACAGATCCTCAGCCTGTGAGGGACTCAGAGCCCAGAGGACAAGCAGGGGTGGTGTCGAGGGGCATGGGGGACAGGTAGCCTGGGGGCCTAGTGCTTGTGGCCCTGTCCAGGCTCACAGGAGCGCCATCTGGCCTGACCTCAGGCCCAGTCTCTGGAAAGGCCATGACTGTTCACTAGAACTCTAAGGCCCGTCTTTCCTACCTGGCCTTCTGCAGCGCAGGGTCCATCTCACGCACCACAGGGAGGAAAGCCCATACTGGGCCCAGACTGAGACAAGCACAGGGACCCACAGGGAAAAGACCACCACACCTGTCCCTAGTGCCCCTGGAGGGGATCGGGTCCCAGTTCACAGATTGTGATCCAGAGCTCAGGGCAGCCCGTGCCAAGTCCCACCCTACATGTGGGGACATCCCCATGAAGCCACCCCTGTCCACAAGGAAGAAGGGCCACGGTGCCTGGCCCGTCACACCACCCCTGGCTAGTGTCTGTGGCCCCAGCTCCCTGAAGGGGGCACCCACATCCCCGCCCTCGACCGTAGCCACTCCTGGGCAACGAGAAGGGGCAGTGCAGGGAATGGGATGGGATGGGAAGGCAACAGGGAGCCGCGAAAGGGTGTGTGGGGCCGGGGCGGGTCCCTACCAAGGCTGCGGGGATCCCGGGGTAGAGGCGCAGCAGGCCCACGTCCCGTTCCATGCTGCTGTGCACCGCCAGCTGGGCCTTCCCTCGGGCCGTCCGCACGAGCTCCCAGTTGACTGTGGGGGCAGAGGTGCACGTGGGGGACGTGTGGGCCACCGGCCGGCTAGGACCCTTGGCCAGGCTCTCCCAGCCCCGCCCCCGATGCACACCCTGCCCGCCGTCCGCTCAGTCCTGGGCGGGGTGCAGCTCCAGCCTGTGCACGGAGCCTGGGGGGCAAGGAGGACCCCACAGGGACGGAGGCGCCTGGGTCTCGCAGCCCGACCGGAAGTGTGCAGGGAAGGGGGAGGAGAGGCGTTCCAGGACCAGGAACAGCCTGCACGCGGGCTTGGAAGCACGGCGGCCAAACCCCAAGTGGCGTGTCGTCCGTGGTCCCGGGAGAGGTCAGACCACCCAGCCTCTCCTGCCCCGGACCAGGCACCCACCTCGCCCACAGCCCAGCAAGTCAAAGAATGAGCGAGTGAATGAAGAAAGGACGCGTCAGCTCTGGGGGAAGAAAGCCTCCCTCTGGTGCACCCCGAAGTTTTGAAGGCCAACCCCCCAGACCCTGGAAAGTGAGGGGTCCGTGTACTTCCACCCACTGGCCCCCCAGAAAGCCAGTGTCCCCAGGGGTCAGAAGGTCACTGCTCCGCCAGGACACAGCCAGCTGAGCCCTCCCCAACTTCCTGCATCCTCCCGGCCCTCAGGAGCCCCAGGCCCAGCCCAGGACCCCACTCTCTCAATCCCGGGCACAAGCCAGCCCTGATGGGGCAGAGGCCGGGCACTGATGGCCCTGCGGGCCCTAACCGCTGAAGTCTGTCCGAGGTAGCAGCTACCATGTCCAGCACGGGGAAACGCAGGCCCAGAATGGGGAAGGGCCACCGAGGCTACCACCCGTGTGTAGAGCCAGGACCAGAGTGGTGGAGAGAGGCGTCTCCAGGAGCCCCTGGCCCAGGGCTCCTCCCCACCCCCGCCCTGGGGGGCTGTAAGGCTACAGACGTCCTGCTGTTGCTACCAGAGCAATTCATGTGTGATAATAAGCCAGGGAACATTCCAGACACACGCTGCCCTCTCACGCTGTATCCAAGGGGACTTGGGGGGATGGGTGGCAGAGGGGGCCCACGGCATCCATCAGCAGCGAGGGGCGTCCTTAAATTTAAGGCCGTGTGCCCCATCTGGGCATGCAGATAAGCCGGGCCTGGGGGGCGTGCTGCCAGCACGCAGGAATTATGACTGCAGGGGGGTTCACAGACACAAAGAGAGCCCACGCTCTCCTCCCTGCGGGCTTGGACCATGCACCTGAGAGCCCATGGAGCCCCCAGTCCGTCCCTCCGGGGGGCCGAGATGAGAGGAGGAACGGCAGCATGGGGCGCACCGAGCCGGCTCCCTGCGCAGACCCTCCACCCCAACACTCAGTGTGGGAGATGAGCTGTCCTCCGCACAGAAGGCCCCTGGGCTCTGTGTGTCCCTCCAGCGCCTCTGACCCCCCAAGCCCCTGTCTACGACGGCCTTGCAGAAGGAAGTAATGAGAAGTAATGACTAAGGAGAGGACAGCTCGGCTGGCCGGATGGGCGGGGTCCTCCTCAGCTACCCCCGGCAGGAGAGTGGGGCACGGGGAGCCCCTCTGAGCCCAGGCATCATCCCCCCTCCCCGCCCTCCTCGGTGCCCCCCACCCCAAGGCCTCCTCCCTCAGGGCTTGCCTCAGTGCGGCCCGTGCCCTGTGGTCTGCCTGGGGCCCAGACAGAGCCCTGCCCTCCCCAGGGAGCTGCTCCCCACCTGCCAGCCAGGGCATCCCCAAAAGTTCCGCTCCTGAGCCCCCCAGGGAGCCAGGCTGGAGGGGCTCAGTGCCGCCCCGCCTCCATGGAAAGGAAGGCAGTCTGTGCCCCTCACACGCACGCCCTCGCCTCAGGGCACCCTCTGCAAGTAGGTGGGGCCCCGCCTGGCCTCTGGAGCCCTGGCCATTCCCCAGGCCCTGAGCTGGGGCTACCTGCTTGGACAGCCTTGGTGGCCCACACAGGCCGCCGTCTCGGAGCAGCCCCTGACTTTGCCTCCCAGGGCAGAACAGAGCACTGTCCTCGCCCCCGGTTCAGGGGTCCTCCTCAGCCCCAGACACAGGTTCCCAGCCCTGCTCCCCGCAGAAATCCTAGGCCAGGAGCCCTCGTCCACTGGCCCCGCTCCCTGCCTGGCTTACTTGTGACATCGGTGCCCATGACGGCCAGAGGGGGCAGGTGCGGGGAGCAGAAGGCCGCGAACCTGCGCGAGTCCACCTTGGTCACTCGGTTGCCCCGAAACAGCTGATTCTGGAAGAAGAGGCAAACCTGCAGGGGAGGGGAGAGGCCGTGGCTCAGCCCTGGGGAGCCCCTGTGCCCTCCAGCCTGCCCCCTGCCATCTCGGCAGAGCGCCCCTGCAAATGCCAGAGGGCTGCCCCAGCAGAGGCCTACCCCCCCGCACCCCTACCCCGCAGTGGGGCAGGGGGCCGGACGTGCGAGGGGCCCCGCCACCCTCCCCTTTCCACTTGCCCACTGCCCCCACCGCTGCTTCCCAGGGAGCCCCCGTGAACTTAGCCCAAGGGTGCGGAGAGAGGCCTCTCCCCGGAGCAGCAGGGTCCCAGCAGGCCCTGCTCCAGAGCTTGGGTGGTGGGGGCTCTGGAGCTGCCCACCCCCATCTTCTAGTCTCTCTAGAGCAGTTCTCCTGGGGAGGGGCAGGGGGCATAGCCACCCCACACGTGGGGGACACTGCCTCCCCAGGGTGGGTGCCCACCTCCCAGCATGGGGTCCCCTGCAATGTGAGGGGGTGTTGTGAGGTCCCCTGTGGCCCCCCGTGAAGGGGTTTGCTGAACAGGGAAAGCCAGCTGCACAGCCAGACGGTGGGGCCGACTTCTACAGAAACTGCCACGCACACACACAGACAGCGTGAGCACGTATAAGAGACATAATCTGGGGGCGCCAGGGGCTCCATCGGTGAAGCCTCTGCCTTCGGCTCAGGGCATGGTCGCAGGGTCCTGGGATCGAGCCCCACATCCGCTCCCTGCTCAGCGGGGGGTCTGCTTCTCCCTCTGCCCCATGCCCCACTTGTGCACGTGTTCTCTCAAATAATAAATAAAATCTCTTTTAAAAACATTATTTATTTGAGAGGGAACACAAGCAGGGGGAGCAGCAGAGGTAGAAGGAGAAGCAGACCCTGCCGAGCAGGGAGCCTGACGTGGGGCTCCACCCCCGGACCCTGGATCACGACCTGAGCCAAAGGCAGATGCTTAACCCACTGAGCCACCCAGGCGCCCCTCAAATAATAAATAAAATCTTAACAAAAAAAAAAGATACGTAATCTGGAAGAAAATACAGGACTCTGTTCACCGCAGCACCTCTGGGAAGTAAAACGTGGGTGGTTTTGTTTCCTCCTGCTCTATCTTCAGAGTTTCTCTATGATGACAGCTTAGGTCACGTGTGAGGTGAAGGCAGATCTTTAAACCCTGCCCGACTCTCTCCCTGCCGGTCCCACCCAAGAGCCTCCCCCAACCCCTCGCCTACACTCCTGAGGCCGAGCCACCACCCCCACACCAGGGAGGGGGAGGGTACCTCAGGGATCACGTACTGGCCCGCCATGAGCAGGGCCCCCAGCAGGTTCTCCCGGCCGTCGTTCCACAGGGCATGGATGGGCACCTGGGAGAGGAGGTCAGAGACGGTCTAAGGCTCACGCGGCCCCCGAGAGTGGCATCGGTGGGAAGCATGAAGAGAGGCACAAAGTCAGGGCGGCTGGACAGGGCTGACAACAGGCCATGCACCCACCCCGGGAGAGCAGAACAGGCACCGGCGGGACCCACGGAGCTGCCCAGCTCAGCCAGCCGGCACCGACCCATGGGCGCTGCCTCTGGGAGCTGCAGGACTGAGAAAGAGGCCCGGGGTCCAGCCCGGGTCCCCCCTGTGGCCTCAGGGAGGGCCTCGTGCCCACCAGCAGGCCTGGGCCATTACCTGGGCGCCCGTGAGGATGACAGTTTTCTGCAGGTTCTCCAGCACGAAGGAGAGCACGGAGGCCGCAAAGGCCATGGTGTCCGTGCCGTGAATGACCACGAAGCCGTCGTACTGCCCGTAGTGTCTCTGCGGGGTGCAGCAAACTCAGGCAGGCCTCCTCCCGAGGAAGAGAGGAAAGGGTCCCCAGTGCAGAGGGAGGGAGGCAGGGAGGCACTGGTGGGATCTTGGCCACCGCTGGCAGGGAAGACATTTTCTGGAGGATCCGCGCTAGACTTCCAGCCAGCATCTCCCCCAGGTGATGGCCAGTCAGGGCTCCCAAGAGCACAGGTCAGCTGGAGGGCTACACCAGGACTCAGCTCAGGACTCCTGGGGAGCCCTGTGCCATGTGACCCCTGCCTCCTGGGCAGGCGGCTACAGGGGCGAGTGAGCTGTGAGCCCACAGTCCAGCAGGAGGGCCAGGCAAGGACAAGGCAAAAGGGCACAAGGCACAGCCGGGGCTGGGAGCTGGCGGGTGATCTGGGAGGCTGGCTGCAACAGGACCCGACAAGAGGGCAGGACACTGGCGGGCAAACGTGGGGAAGAGTCCTTCCAGGTACAGCAAAGCCTAGAAGGCCTCTCAGACACGCTGGCCGCCTCTGCAATTCATCCTCTGGCCACCAGCTAGAGGGCAGCCGAGGCTGGGCCTTGGAGGGTGGATGGCCCAAGCTGTGGATGCAAGGGGCACAGTTCTGGGAACCAGCGGGGCCAAACCCACCTGAGGGGAGCATCCTTCCTGGCCCATTGGAAGACGGTGCCAGGCTGACCCTAACTGCGGTTGCAAAGCAGTGTGGCAGGCTGGGGCACCCTCTGCTGGCCACATGGGGCACTGCCACAGGCGGGGCCACCAGGGCCCCAAAGGCCCTTTGAGTCTGCGGGTGGCTGGACACTGCGGTCAGAGCAGCAGTCCCGGGAGCTCAGCAAAGCGGTCAGGCCCCAACCAGAGGACGCTGCTGGCCATACACCAGGGAGACTGCCCCAGACTATGGCCACAGACATGTCCACTGTCAGCTAGCGGGCCATTCGGGGACGTAAGGACCAGGCCCAGGGCCACACACTGTCCCACTCACAGTGAGAGGGGATGGGCCCGGAGGCTGCTTTCCCCCGCCCCCGCAGGCAGAAGAACACAGGCGAGGGGCGGGGGCCAGCCCCCAGCTGCCGGGAAGACGAGCCTCTGTGATGAGCCTCTGAGGCTTCTTAAGGGAGGCAGGTGAGAACTGGGCCTGGAGAGGGCGGGAGAGCGAAGTAGGGGTGGGAGGGGGCAGGAGGCAGTCGGGTAGCAGGCCAGGCCTGTGCAGGAGCGGGGCTGGCGATGACGAGGTTGGGCAGAACAGAGAGGAAAGCTGACGGAGGGGGGTCTGGCACCAGGTAAGGGGTCTGCACTGGGTGCTGTAAACCACGAGAACTGCACAGGGTTCTGTACCTTTTATGGGCCCCAGATCCACTAAGTCCCTGCCTTCAGGGTGGGTGTGGGTGTGGGTGGGGTGAACGGGTGGGGCGGGGGGGGCATGGAACCTGTCAACCTGCAGGCAAGCAGAGAGCATCCCAGCCCGGGGTACTAACCAGGACAGCTGTCTGGGACATTTCCCCATGGGAAAGGGGACATGGCCCTCGCTGCCCACCCTCTGCTTGCACAGGGGAAAGGGCCTGAGATGTAACCTGAGGGTCCAGCACTTTCCTAAAACTGCCCTTTACTGATGCTCCCAAGTCTCAGGCCAGGCAAGCAGACTCCACCACCCCAGACCCCGAGGGGAGTGCTTCTGAAGCCCTGGCCACGCCCAGCCAACCAGCCCCGCCCATACCCAGCTCCGCCCAGTACACTCAGCTCCTCACACTCCTAGCCACGCCCAGACTCTCAGCCCCTCCCAGTACACACAGCCCCACGCACACTCCTAGCCACGCCCACTCACAGCCCCCCAGTACACACAGCCCCACCCTCCCAGCCCCGCCCAGTACACTCAGCTCCACCCACACTCCTAACCACGCCCAGACTCGCAGCCCCTCCCAGTACACACAGCCCCACCCACACTCCCAGCCACGCCCACACTCCTCAACTACCTCGATGGTCTGAGCGATCTGAACCCACTCAGTGATGGTCATGTCACTGGAGTCAAAGAGGGGCTGGCACTCCAGCACCGTGTAGATGACTCTCTGGTCGGGGATGGCGGGCCTGCGGGAGGCAGAACAAGGACTCCCGCTCTGCCCCCTGCTCCCCTGGCCAGCTCTGCTCCCCCCACCCCACCCTGCCGACCCCTGCACCAGGATCTTCTCAGTGGGCTCTACATATCCAGTCTCTTGGCATCCGGAGGACAGGGCCTGGCCTCCCCCCTGAGGACCCAGGAACAGGGACCTCGATCCTCAGGAGGGTTCAAGGATGGGGCAGGACGGTCTGTGCCCTCAAAGAACCAGCTCTGAGAGGGAGGCTGGGGCCGCCCTCCGTGGGCCAGACAATGACCCTGGGAGGAGAATCTCCAGTAGGAGGGAGCTCGGGGACCAGGAGGGTGACTCCCCCCTCAGCCTGACAGTTGTGAAGGGCACCAGGCAGCCTTGGCCAAGAGCTAAGAGATAGGGGGACCCTTACACGAGGGGAGACAGCCCCCGCCTCTCTTGATGAGCATCCACATGTGGCTGGGGGCCCGAGGTGGGGGGAGTCCGAGGCTCACTTGAAAGGGAGCTGTTGGTCGGTTCTAAAGCCAGGAAAGTGTGAAAGGACATCAGTGACCACAGACAGCCCTGCAGGCAGCCGTCTCAGGACAGCTCTACCCCACTGACAGCCGGTGGTCATCCCCACCTGGGACCCCACGGAGCCCCCACTCACGGCAGCACCAGTGTGTCCTCCGGGAGGCCACAGGCCCGGGCGTACTCTTCATCATGGAACATGGGCAGTGACCTCAAGACTGCGGCCAGGCCACTCCCAGGGACGAGCACTATGGGCAGAAGCCGGATTAGGGTCAGTGTGGGTCAGGGCCAGCAGCCACCGCTGACTCCTCTAGCCGCTGGTTCCTCCCTCCGCATCGGGACATCTACCCGACATGCTGGGGGCCAGGCCCGGGGCAGGGCTGGGGTTTGTCGGGGGAGAACCTGGTGAGGATGGGCAACTGCTTGTCTGGACCAGACAGTTTCCTGTGGAGCCAGTGAGACAGCCCCAGGGGCCCTGCAGGGGCTCTGGCCCCTCCATCCAGGGCCAGGTCACCCCATCTGCCGCCTTTTCTCTCCGTGCAGCCCAATGGACCTCCGGTTCTTCCCCCACTTCCCAGAAGGCCCACACCAGCTCCTGCTCACAGACATACTGTCGGCTCTGTCTGCAAGTCCTTGGTCCAACCCCCTTCAAGTCCAGCAGGTGCTTTGCCCCAGCTCGGGTTGCTACCTCCAGGAAGTCCCCCTTGATGTCCAGGCCCACTGCCCCTCCCACGTACTGCCCAGCTGCCCTTGTACCCTCACTAGACCACGTGCAACCCCCCCACAACGCACACAGCCCAGGTCCTCTGCCTGCAGCCTCAGTGTCCTAGAAACCTGCATCTAAGGCACTGGACAGAAATGGTGCTGTGTCGTAGAAGAGCCCTAATACGTTACAGGTGTGTTTCCTAGAAACCAGCCTTGGCAGAGGCTCTCAGGCTTCCAGGTCCTAGCCTCTTGTTCCAGCCTGCTTCCTACCAGCACCGTGACCTTGGCCAGGTCAGCTGACTTCTCTGGGCGTCTCCCCCATGCCTGGCTGTGGACAACAGGGTGCCCCTCCCTGAGACACGTCCTTAGCTGAAACAAGTAAGAGGCACATCTGTGCTCGCCTCACACTGTGACGGTGATGCATCAGCCGGGCTGTGACCTCACTGGGGCTGTTTCCCCACCCCAAAACCCCTCGGAGTGTCCGTCTGCCCATTAACGCCCAGGCCCCAGCTCTTGCCCGTCCCCTGGCCAGCACAGGCAGACCGGGCCCATAGCTGCTCAGGGATGTTTGTGGCAGAGGGAACCCCGGTGGGGATGCGCTGTGAACAACGTGCCCTCGCCTCGCACGCAGCCCCAGCAGGAGCTCCACTCACGCTTGCCGCAGAAGTAAACCATGTGGGCGAGAAGCATCATGCCAATGGGGCCAAGCAGACAGAGGGGACACGAGCACACAACTGCCGGGGAGGGACCGGGCAGGGAGAGGCACGGATGCTGCAGCGGTGCGGCCACGGCCAAGGAAGCGGGAAGGACGGACCCTTCTTGCCCGAGGTCAGATGCCTGCCCAGAGCAGGGGTGGGGGGCACCCTCCTGCTCACTGGTTGGAACTACCCAGGGAAACTCACGCAGCCACTTTCCACCGCAGCTCCTTGTGGTGGGTGACGCAGGGCAGTCTGCAAAGCTGAGGGTCCAATTGCGGGGCAGGTGAGGTGGGGATGCACTTGGTGTGGGTCTCATGGGACACACGTATGATGTGGGTGGTCACCTGCTGACCCTTGGAGGGGCAGTGGCTGCCAGGGACATCCTGCTTCCGCGAGGTGGGGAGGGGCAGGGCTGCAGGGCCCCCCGGAAAGGACAGGACCCTGCTGTCCCACCAGCCAGGGAGCATGTGGGCAGCACAGGCCAAACTGACCCAAGGAAAGGCCTTGCTCTCCTGTTGTTCTCGCCGCACAATCCTGTGGCGGGGTGGGGGCTGCTGTCACGCTAGAACAGCACGGGGAAATGCCCAGCCAAAGACACGGGGAGGCGCCGCCGTGAGAGGACATCAGCAAGTTAATGAACAAAACAGTTTTCTGATATCCTGGCTTTTTAAAACCAGGGATTTGTTATGATTTCCTTAATCATTCCAAGTAAATGTTCACGTTCACGTTGAACTCTGATTTTGTAAATCATGTTATTTTTCTCAGCGAGGGCCCCCACACCAGGTGCCTGTAAAACCAGAATGTGGTCTCGTCCTTGGGCCCCAAAGGCAAGGGGATGCAGCTCTGCGCCCACCAAACCGCTCATCTGTCCCCTAGGACAGCAGATCCCCCTAGAACCACCTATGGCTTAGGCTCCAGACGTGAGTTTGTGAGCCCGTGAAACTGTGTTCAGGAAGGAGGGCTGGGCCGAGGGCTCAGATGCCGCAATCTCGTGACGAGGGTCGGCGGCGGGAACTCCTGCGATCTGCCAGGCTGTCCTGGCGCCGTCAGACGCTCGGCCCCAAAGCTCTGCTCCCTGGGCTATGTGTGCGAGCGCCCGCAAGGGCCGCTGCGGTTGCGGCAAGCAGGGAGGGGCTCCTGGGTTCCTCGGTGGTGTGGGAGGAGGCCCCAGGTGCTGCTCAGCCTTGGGCTTGGGGCCATCATCCGGCTTCTTTTCATGATGCCCCTTGCCCTGCGACATCTTTCCTGAACCCAGAGATGGAACGGGTCAAGGGCTGTCCCCAGTGGCCACAGCCTCTGCCCTTCGCTGGCCGTCCTGACCTTTGGCAGGCTCCAACCCACAGCGCCGTGTGCCCTGCAGGCCAGAAACACCAACGGTGATGATCCCAACAGATTTGCTGTGGCTGGCCTGCGCCCTCACCGCCCCTCGCCACCCTCGCACCGCTGGAGCCCCGTCCGCAGTGCAGGGCGAGTTAATCATTGATGTGGTTCCCATCAGAACTCTAGGGAAAGGCCGGGAGTCCTGAGTTCAACGACCCGGGCAGGGCTTGGAGCGGCCAGGAGCCCGGCTCCCCCACCCGCCCTCATCCTGCTCTTGCCCTGGCCTGGGGTGCAGCCCTGGTCCCCAGACACCTTTTCACTCTACAACATTTTTAGCCAAAAAAGCCAGCGGGAGATGTGTGTCCCTCAAGAACACGGAGAGCCAGTCCTGCACTAGAGCAGGCCCAGGACCCTCCCTGGTCTCAGGAGCCAGGGGTCAGGGGTTGCATGATGCTAGAGGGACAGCAGGGACCAGATCCCACACCTCTTCCTCCTTTGTCCTCTGGCCCGTAAGTCACGGGCTCCCTGAAGCCTTCCTGAAGGGGGAGGACTGGCAGCTGCCGTGGGGCTGGGGATGAAGCGGGCCACATGAAGGCAAAGCCCTCAACCAGGAGCTGAGAGAGGCCGCTGTGGCTCGCAGAGGACGAGGCACCCCTGCCCCGGACTGGAGGCCACCTGCCCCCTAGGCAGCAGCTCGGCCAGAGCTCTGAAGACCAGCATCATTGCCGGCTGGGACAGGCTGGCCGCTCTGGACACAAGAAGGTGCTTGGTGGCCTCACCTTCACCAGGCCAGACGGCCCCAGGCCCAGGGCAGGCTCTAAGGGATTCTGGAAGATTCCTCCCTGTAGGGAAGACGACCCCCACCCCCAGGCTGTTTTTCCTGAGTGGGGGTCTCTAATTCACCTTCTGAACCGGTGAGTTCGCAGCCTCTCTGACGGCAAGGCCGCCCGGGAGAAGCAGGGGAGGCAGGCACAGCTGGTGGGAGGGGGTCAGAGTCCACCCGTCCCTGCAGCCCTGGGAGCTGCGTGTTGAGCGCAACAGAATTGCAGCTGGCCCCATGCCAAGCCTGGGGGAGCAGCATGGGGGGTGGGCGCAGGGCAGCTACCCACTCTGGGCCCCGTCTCCTTCCTCCCAGCCCCGCCGGTGCTCTCCCACCTCCCGGGAAGCCCCCCCACCCCGTGCCCTCCAGGGAAGCAGGGAGCCAGACACAGGGTCCTGCCCGACGGGCACCCACAGCCCTACGTGGTCCCGGCACACGGCCTTCGTGACCTTCCTCACATTCTGCCACTGGTTCAGTGTCCGCCCCTCTCTGGCCTGGGGGGTGGGGTGGCAAGTGACCACAGCAGCCCCTGCACGGTGGTGTCCGCCGGGGCCTCCAGGCTTCAGGTCACCCACCAGCTAACCGGGTTGGAGAGGCAGAGGGCACAGCAGCCGCAGGCGGGCGGGCCGGGTGGACAACCAGGTCCCTGGGCCCAAGCCCCGCCAGGACAGGGCTCTCTCTACACAGGCCTGAGCCCTGGGGCTCTGCATGGGCCGGAGCCACCAGGAGGAGCCAGTGGTGTCTGAGTCACCACTCCCAAGGCTGAGCGTTCATACTGGCCTGCCTGGACATCGGGGAACTGTCTCCCCCTCTCCCACGAATGCCAGAATGTTCTGAATGCTGGTGGACAGCCTTCCTCTTTCTGGGCCGTGGGGGACCTCGCTGTAGGTGCTTGGCCCCCACTGAGGCCATCCTGGCCTGGGGTGGCCTGCGAGCTCCAGCACCCCCGCCTGGGCCCTCACCCCCCAGCAGCAGCCACCGCCACATAGGCAAAGACAAGATGTGCGGCTCCCCAAAGCCCCCTGCCGCCCCTGACCACTCCCCTGAAGTGTGTGCCCACTGCTGTCAGGAGCCCTCCTTGGGGAAGGCGAGGCGTGGTGTCACCGCCTCTGTCGCGGGAGAGGAAGACCTGGACGGCAGCGACACACCTGCCCACGGGGAGCGCGGGAGGCGGTGGAACAGAAGCCGCAGGGCCCTCCGGGTCGGGGGGCACACCTCTGTGCTGAGGGTTCCAGCCGCAGCTGAGGGGAGGGGAACTGAGAGCGCCCCAGAGGGTCCCCAGTGCCTGGCCCTGGCCTGAGAAAGGTCACTGGGCGTGAGAACGACCCCATCCCCACCCCAGGCCTCCAACTCACCGCCCTGCTCGCTCCGCATGCCGATCGTGCCGCCAGTGTAGACGGCCAGGAGCCGCCGCTGGGGCTCCAGCGCGCGCGCCATGCCGACCTCGGGACCAAAGGACCGACGGGACCGGGACCGAGACCGAGGGGACGAAGGGGAGGTGGCGGGGCGCCGAGGGCAGCCCGGGGGGGGGGGGGGGGGCCACCTGCCTGGGGCAGTGCTTGTGGCCGGAAGGCGTGGAGAGCTGGGGCGGGGGGCGGCGAGCGGGCGGGTGCTGTCTGGGGGCGGGGGCGCGGCCTGACGGGGCGGGGCTAGGGGCAGGGCCTGCGCGGTCTTGGGCCCTCAGACGCCAACCGGTGCAGTGGCCCCCGGTGCTGGAGTGGCTGGGGCCCGTGAGACACAAGCCAGCGCCTTACGGTTGGCCTGGAGGACCCCCCAGCGCAGAGTGGGGGCCGCCCTCCCCTCCCAGGCGGCGCCCGCAGAGGCCGGTGCCGTGACCACACCTGCACTGCACTCCTGGGGGTGGGGTACAGGCAGAGACCCCCACTGCCCACGCACGCAGGTCCAGGAGAAGGGCGGGAGGGGACCCCTCCAGGCTAGAGGCCTGCCCCTCCGCCCCCGCACGCAGCCCTGCAGGGCACCGGAGCCTCGGGTTAGGGGTCGGTTTCGGTTCCGGAGCAGGTTCATCCCCGAGGCTGGATTCCCCGAGGCCCGCATTCGGATCTCCACCGCAGGCGTGGGGGAGAGGGACAGCACTGTCTCCACGCGCTGCCCTCCGCCTACCCGATGTGCGTTCCAGGGAAGCTACTTTGATAACTGCCCACGATGCAGAAGTGATTCCTGTCCCAACACCAGCCGGGGAACTGTCTGCTCTGGCTGGCGGTGTCAAGGGCAGAAACGGTCCCGCTGTCCTCAAAGCCAAAGTCCGAGACCAAGGTGTCCGCCTCTCCTCTGTGCCCCTGTCCCTCTGCTGGATTCCAGGGTCCAGACCTCTTGTTACAAGGACACCGGCCACCCTGGGCTCCGACCGAAGGTCCTCCTTTTACCCTCATCCCCTCCTTAAAGGCCTGTCTCTGAATACAGTCCCCTTCAGAGGGGCTCGGGGTCAGGGCTCACCATGTGAATGTGGGAGGGACACAGTTCAGCCCCCACCGGCAAAACCTGGTTCCCTCCGTTGCTGGTTCGCATCACTGTTCAGGTCTGTAAAGGTGCTTGTTCTTGGGCGGCTCTGAGCGGTCCTGACACCTGCCGGGGCCCTTCGCTGTTGGGGGAGGGAGCTCCCCGGTCACCCTTTCAAGAAGCCACCCCTTACCCCGCCCACCAGCACCCTAAGACGTCCTGGGAACCAGGAGTTTGGGGCCGGGCAGGCCTCCTCCGAGATCACTACCTGAGCCGAAATCAAGAGGCACTTAACCGACTGAGCCAGCAACGTGCCCCGTGAACCATTTTTGTGTACAGGGCCCGCTGTGGGTCTCTACAGGCACTGGGGACCCGGTCCTCCTGGAGCTCCCTTCCCAGTGCAGAGGCAGCAGGAGACGCTCCCCGCCCCCCTAGCATCTCTTGGTGACCAGTGCTGTGAGGAGAAATAAGAAAACTGAGTGACGGAAGGTACTGTTCCGGGCAGGGTGGCAAGGGACCATCTCTCTGATGAGCTGACACGGGGGCCGGGTCCCAGGCAGCAAGGAGCCAGGGGAGTCTGCACCCTGCCCAGGAGGGCAAGGGAGGGCCGTCTGAGGGAGGGAGCACTCGCCAAGGGGGTCAGGCCCAGGAAAGGATTTGGGATTTAAACCTAGTCCGGGCCTGCGCGGGTTTGTCTTAAACTCTGCTGAGTGGAGAGAGGCAGGCGAGGGGTCGTAAGGGCCATCAGGAGGCCAAGCGGCCGGGGACCAGTGGCTGGGGAGGAGTGAAGTCATACTGGGAGCACATTGGGACACTTGGCTGTGACACAGAGACCAGAGAGCACAGCTCAGGTTTTGGCCAGAGCTTCGCACTAAATGGGGACCGAGTTCTTGACTCGGTCAAGCAAACCTGGGGCTGGAGGAACGTGGAGGGGCCAGGAGGTGGCGAGCTGTGCCCGGTGCCTTGTGTTTGACCCGGCGCCTGGGCGGCCCAGAGGAAACGAAAGTTGTACCTTCTGGAGTCACCAACACGGGGACAGCACGGGGAGCCTGGCAAGGTTGCCAAGGAGCAGAAGACGGGACATGAAGGCCCAGCGTGTGCCAGCTTTCCAGCTCGAGGCCAGGAAAAGGGGAGAAGCCAGGAGAGCCGGGGGTGAAGGCGGGGGAGATGTACACCGAGGCCCAGGGCGGGAGTGTCAGCCGCGTAGGCCCTGACCGCACTGAGTGGGGGCTCTGGGTCGCCTGACCCCCAGCATGGAGCAGAGGGGACAGACGCCCCACTGGAGGGCTGCTTCGATGGGCCACTGAGCTCCCCACTGCTGAAGGCCCCACGTCTCCCACAGGAACTGCCTCCCTGACTCTGGGTTGGGGTGATGTCTGTGGCCTCCTCCTGTGTGGGGGGGCTGTTCCAGGATTCCCCGTTTCCTCCATGGGGACAGCCTCACCGTGGTGTCGAGACTGGGAGCTGAGTCTGGAGGACCTGGACGGCGCATCGGTCCTCCCCAGGGTCGCTGCCCACTTGTCTCTTATCTCTCAAGCTGCTCAGAGGAGCGCCAATGCTTCTGCCCCGGGGGTCCCTGGAACACACGCTTTTCCTCACATCCCATGCACACCCTTGCTGGCACCACTCCCTCCACACAGAGCGGGGGTGCTCCAGTCAGAGTCCCCCCAGAGCGGGATCTGAAGCTGCCCCGTGGCGGCGGCGTGCCCAGCCAGGCAGCCCCGTCAGCCTCGTGCTCTGTGCGCCACTGGTCGTGCTCCTCTTCTAGGGCTTGGTTCTCAAAAATGCAGCACCCATCCAGCAGCCGCACCTGGAGCCTGTGGGAGACGCCTCCCCTGGGCCCCCTCCCCAGGCCTCCAGACCCAGAAAGTCGGGGGACCTGAGGGGTCCACGCCGCACGTACCCCCTCCAGAGGTTCCAATGCAAACACGAGCTGGAGAAGCCTGGGCTAGAGCGGTGGCCGGCAGCCTGGACTCAGGGCCAAATGTGGCCCCTAGGTTGTAACTAACGTTTTATGGGAACGGTGATGCCGCTCACTTTGGCAGGAGGCCAGGAAAGGAGCGGTGGGCAGGGGCCCTGGTGGTCGTGCTGCGGGTAACAGGCCAGCTACGGGTGCAAGGGAACCCCTCCTACCCAGTCTGTGCCCTCAAGCCCCTCGTGGGGCCAGGCTTTGGTTCCCCACGCACCACCTCCCCCTTGAGCTTGGAGGCCTCGGCGGTCTGAGCAGCAGCCAGAGCGCCGGCAGCTCCAGACGAGCGAGGCCCAGAGGGTCCAGCAGGCACACCCGCCCATAGCGCCCTGGGTGCCGCCAGGCAGGTCCTGCTGATGGTGGCAGGTTGCAGACGATGCCCCCCAAGTCCCCATGGCCGGTATTGCTAATGTGGAGGGCAAAGGGCACCTGAACAGACCTGCAGGGGCCTCCCGGTCAGGCCCTGTCAGAAGCCCCGACGGACACTGCTGCCGCCCATTCCCCGCGGGGAGGCACCTGAGGACGCCTCCGCCAGCCCAGTGAGGGCCCTGAAGACAGCCAGGGACACCCCCCACGCTGCGGCCACCACTGTCGGGAAGGAAGCAGGCCTGGCCCACGCCTCGGCGGACGGCGAGACTGGCCGTGCGATGGGACGCTGGCAGGGAACGAGGTGCAGGGGACATAGGGCCATGTCCTGGGAGCAAAGGTCTAGGCCCTGCCCCAAATTCAGCATGACTCGGAGACCTAGCTGGGCCCCCATGGCCTCTGTGGCCCTGAAGACCCGCGCACCCGCCCCCACCCCACGCCCCGAATTCACTGGTGGGAGAAGGCGCCAGTGGAAGGCAGGTGGGGAGTGGCCCCCATGACCTCAGTCTGCTGCCTCAGCCGAGAAGGGCAGCGGCGAGGAGGGGAGAGGCAGGAGGAGTCTGGGTGCGGGTTGTGCCCACACTCCTCCCCAGCCGGCTGGGCTGCCAGGCCACCCGACAGGGTCAGGAGGGTCCTTTGGTGCCACGCGTGTCCTGAACGGCTCGTCCCTGCAGAAGGCAGACCCTCAGCAAACCCGACGTGTTGGGGGGGTTCCCACACACGCACGTCCTGCCTTTCCGGCAGGTCAGCGGCCCATGCAGCACCAAGACCGAGCCCACGTGGACACGTGTGACACGTGGCTCTAAAAACAATGAGCCAGTTCTCCCCCTCCTCCCCCATGAGTTGAGCCCCCTGCAGTGGAAGCCCACACCCCTGCACTCTACACACTCATGTCCGAAGCCTGGTCACGGGGTAAGGTGCAGTAGAGCCCCCAGACAGATCGCTGCGACAGGACAGGAACCAGAGGCAAAGCCTCAGGCACTGGCCAGTTGACAAGTGACACCTGTCGGGGGCCAGGTCCCCCCTACGGCGGCCGGTGAGCAGGCAGTGGATGGCCCGTCCATAAGAAGTGCCTCTGGGGGCAGGACTGTAGGGGTGGGAGGAGGGTGGCTTGCAGTCTCCCCCCAGAAGATCTCATCCAGCCCTGGAGCCTCGGGGACGACCTTTGGAGCCGTCCAGTCAGAGCGAAGGAACCTTCGAGCCCTGTGTGGTCCAGTCACTGGACGCACCATCCCCTAGAGCACGGTGTGATCGCAGCTGGGGTGGCAAACATCCCCAGAAATGGGCCGTCTTCCAGCAGCCCCCAGCAGCCAGAGGGGACATCTGTCATTCCCTGGGGGGTCTGATGGGTGTGTGGCCCCACAGCCACAACATCTTGCAGGACGGGGAATCCTCAGCTCTCGGAACAGAAGCTCACGTGGGGAAAAGCAGCTTGCCCCCTCTCTCCCCAGACAGAGAAGTGGATTTGATATGGGTCCTAAGCTCAAACATAAATGCTAGAACTACAAAATTTAGGAGAGAACACTGAAAGGTTTCTTTGTGACCCGGGGTTAGGCAACGTTTCTTAATTAAGGGAACAAGGCACGAACCACGAAACTTTTGAAATGATCAAATAAACTTCGTCAGAGTCCCCAACTGCTGCTGG